GGGGGCTGAAAGGAATGAAATAGCTCAGCATTTTCATAAACCAGTGAGTCTGACTGACAGGTTAGTACAAAAGACAAAAGCAAAAAAAAAATATCAAAAAAAAAAATCAACCTTCTTCCAACTGAGATGAACCCTACTGAGGGGCCCCTTCACTGTGCCAATGTCTGTTTGTATTGTGGGGCTACCCTCACTATAATAATGATAATGATGATGATTATAACAATAGTTATTTTTATAATTATAGTGAATAAAAATAACAATAATAATAATAATAATAACAACAACAATAATAATAATAACAATAATAACAACAACAATAAAACAACCTCTGATCCCAGGTGAAATGAGCGCTGCAGTGGAGCGACCCCCGCTACTGGCGAGCCCCGTAGCCGTGATGGGACCCACTCCCCTCGGGCTTCAACCCTTCGACCACCAGGTGGCAGGCCAGTCTCTCATCCTGCGCTACAACGACACCACGCTGTGCAAGTGTCTGATCCCACGAGAGCACGCCTTCTACCAGAGGATGCCAGAGTCCCTGCAGCCCTTTGTCCCGCAGTACAGAGGTAGGGTAGTTTGCCACTCAAAATTTTTAACTTAGAACAAAAGCAGTTTTAGTTTCTCACTCAGGGGAGAGTTGAGGTATTCATAAAGGAAAGAAAAAACAACAACAACGAAAAAAACTTTTTATTCTGGCTCAGACAAGAGGTAGATTATTCAAAAGGAAAAGAAATTACCACTTTTTGTTTCCACTCTGTATGAAGTTGGGCAGTAAAGAAGAAAAAGGAAAAAAATTCTCGCTCACAAAAAAGGTTTTATAGGGTATGCAGTATTCAGTAAGAAGAGCAAGGAAATAAATGGAGTCTCTTTATTGTCTTGACAAGTTATTTCAAAATTAATAGCTTGTAGTAGGCCCTATATATTATGGTATTATAAATATATTATATTCACACCAAACAATATCATAATTGCTCGTACAATACATTATTCCTATCGAACACACACAAAAAAATTGTTGTTGGTGGCAGTTTTGCAGTGCTTTAACTTTAACGCTTTAAAGGATGAAGCGGACATGTATGTCGGATCTGAAGCAGACCAATGGCAATTTTGCGGCACTTTTCGAACCTTCAAAATTAGAGACACGAATTGCCTATCTCATTTTTTTGCCCGCCTCATTAAAGTTTCAGACAAAGAAAGCAGAATGAAAAAATCTGCAAGAATAAAGAGGCAAGCCTCTATTTTAAAAGTATTCCAAAAGAGCATGTCTTCAATGAATTAATATAAGCTCATTTTAACCATATGTATCTTTCTCTTTCTAAAAAAAGCTGTAAGTTGGAATGTTGTCAGTAGTCAGGGGGAACTAGACACGATTCAATTACTGATGTAAACGATTTTTATTAACTTTGACTTATTGGGTCAAGTCATGTGAACTCAAAGCTCAATTTTGCTGTTTTAATCAATGACTCCACTTTCAAATGTTTAACTTATTAGGTTGAGTTGAAACAAAATATAAAGTTGTAACATATTCACACACACACCCACACAAACACACACACACACACACACACACACACACACACACACACACACGCGCGCGCACACATGTGCTCGCACATACAGACACACACACACACACACACTCAAACGCACACACTCACCAAGTTTGAGGGTATAACAAGGATTGACTATGTGTTGTTTCTTGCAGGTGTGAACCAGCTTATCCTACCAGACCCTGACACCTTCAAAGACACTGAAAAAGAAAACCTGTCTCATTCCCCTCATCATGAACGGCCCTCCCCTTACAAGACAACACCCAGTCAGGCTCCGCCCAGTTCACAGCGAGTCCCGCCTTCCTTTTCTCCTGCCCAGTTGCGGGGCATGCGAGGACTTCGGAAAAGCAGTAGGACAGGCCTGGGGGATGGTGGCAGTTTGTACTGTATCCTTTGTAACTAATTGCAGTTGTAATATTTTACGCCCCAACTGTCACAATTTAGACCGTTTTGAAGGTGGGCTGCTTTGACATTGACTGTCAGGGCCTACCAAGGCCGAGTAGGATACAACATCCCAGCAGACAGACAAAGATACTTGATTTAAAAAGAACACCAAACAAACAAAAAAACTCTCCCCCCTCCCCGACCCCTACACTGAGAATTGAACTTTTATCTTCTGCACAAAATGGCAAAGTTTGTTTTCTTTGATCTAAAAAGAGGTAGGCCCTACACACTCTATCTATTCAAGTTGCCTGCTCTTTGTGATTATATTGGGGCTGAAAACTGTTTTAATAAGACATGGGGTCCCTTGAGCAATCGTTTGACAATAATACGTGTCATTGGACAGTTGTTTTGATCAAAGTGAAAGGTATGTTAGCCTACCATCAAACTTATTATCTAACCTTTCTCTTTTAGTGAAAGGAAGAATGATTCTAGTGCATGTAGAGTCCTATAGATTTTATTTGACTCATTATTAATTGATTTATAATACCAGTATCATAAGGCCTACATTCATGCTGCTGCTGCTGCTTATGATGATGATTATCATGATTATTATTACGATTGTTGTGATTATTATAATGATTTTGATTGCATTGTATTTTGATTATGATTATTATTGTTTTGTGATGTAGACAAGGGAATGTGAGTAGGCCTATTTAAAAAGTGTTTCCTTTCAAATGATTCATATGTTTAGTAAGTCCCACTTGAAAGCAGTAACATCCTTGATAAAGCGTTTAGATTTTTTACTGCTGGAGGACCTGATCTCTGGCTATGACCGGCCGTGTATCCTGGATCTGAAGGCGGGGACACGACAACACGGTGATGACGCACCGCCGGAGAAAATTGCCTACCAGGTCAACAAGTGCACCCAGACTACCTCGGCAACACTGGGACTTAGGCTGTGTGGGATGAAGGTGAGGTTTTTACACACACACACACACACACACACAGACAAGCACACACACACACACACACACACACACACGCACATACACACGCACATACACTCACACACACAAATGTGTAATATAAACATTTCTAATTTATAGGCATGCTTACATACATATTTATATAAGGCTACAGTTGGACACAGATAACATGAAGACAGAAAACTTGAAATCACAGTCGTTTGTACAATTTACCTTTCCCCGACTGGTTTCTCTTTAATTTTCCCTTATTGGTAAACCTGAATAATTGATGTGTTGAACACATTTGTAAACCCCCAACGTGTTTTACTGATCTCCATGCCTGACTGTAGGATTATGAATACATGCACACACACACACACACAAATCTGTATTTATACATACCTGTGTACGTTTTTAAAAGGCTTTAGCAGTGCATATATGTGTGTATGCATTTTAAATGTATATTAAATCATGTTTCTTTAGCAAGTCTTTTTTTTTATTGCTTACATTATGTTCTTCTCCTGGCTGATTTTATTTATTAAAATATTATTATAGGTTTTAGTCAAAATGTTTTTTTTGAAGTTTGCTGCCTGTTTCTCTTTTATTGCCTTGATGTTGAGGTTCCACCACTTCCTGATTTCCTTCTAACTGTCATGACTTTGGTTTCCTCAGTGTTGATTTACATGACATTGTACTCTCACAATACATCCTATTCTTATGAATTCCTCCTCTTGCGATGAACATTTGCGTCTGTTGTTGTCTCATGAAATCATCCTCAGAAGGTTACATTCCCATTTGGCTCATTTGTCAGAGTTCTTTACACTTTTATGCAGCATCTAGCTATAGGAGCACACAAACTTTGGTTTTATCTAAGGGCATGAAGATGAGAATCATTATAAATTATGTTCACCTGAAGTGCAATGACTCCAAGTCAGCTTTTGGTGTATTTGTCTTCTTGGAAACTAGAAAAGTGGTCGTCTGTGTTATAGGGAGTTGAGATTTTTGACTGGGGAACATGACTTGTTTATCCTGTTTATGGGTCTGGCTTTGAAGCCTTTAGTCTTTTGGTTTATTTACATTGGGACAATTGCTAATGGCTCACAGTTAGCTCAGTTGCTATCATGCTGGACTGTGGTGTGTGTGACTCTGGTTTCAATTCCCAAGAGGGCGTTCTGAACATGGGTTGTCGTTTTGTAAAATTTTTAAAGCTCTCTGTCCATTTGGCTAGTTCCAATTGAAGGTGGACGATAAATCTGAAGGTCCTGCCTCTTAAATGACCACAGGCCTATACAATAACCTTTAACTACAGTCAAACCTGCCCTGACGGCCACCTCTATAAGACGGTCACCTGTACAAACGGCCACTTTCCATTTCCCCCCTTGCGTTTTTTCTATATAATTTAACTGTGTAAAACGGGCACCTGTCCAACGCGGTCGCGGCCACCATATTTTACCACACAACCCCTATCACACTAAGCAATAACACCTGTCTTAGACGGCCACCTTAGAGACTCCATTACGTTTTGTCATAAATTGTGCATTGGCACACGGCGTTGTAGGCGAGCCGTCATAATTCAATCACCTGTCGTTTTTGTTAGGTAGTCCCTCCAACCGATCACAGTTGCGTAGGCCCCTCCCACTGTTGACCAATAGCTACCAATTTTCAGTTGCTGGTGAGGTAAGCGCGTGATCCCTCAAAACCCATAAACCCCTCCCAGAACTCATACACAAATCGTAAGTGAGATGAATGGTCACTGTTTACCCAGTCTGTAACAAAGTTACTATAGGATGTCAACATGAACTTGTGACAGAAGCTTCGCTCGTTCTCCGAGTGGTGGCGACCTATGTGTTTGTTTTAACATTGCACTCGGTCTTCCTTGTCTGATACATTTCGTTTTATTGCCACCCTTGTGCAAAATCAGCAACAAAATAAAAATTACAAACAAAATACAAACCACCACCAACAACAACAAAAACAGCAACAATGGGGCTACTTTCGATTGGGACCTCAGATGGGAATGGGTCATTTTCTTCATCTTGATCAGTCCTGCCTAAGACGGCCACCTGTCTTATACGGACACTTTTCTCCTTGACAATGGGTGGCCGTCTTACACAGGTTTTGACTGTATTTAATTTGCTAACTTCTATTTCTATCTTTCCCTTTTCAGCGCTATGTGGAGACAAGTAACAATTATGACAACAAGGACAAAGTGTTTGGCAGAAATCTATCAGACGAGGAAATGAAACTGGAAATAATCCAGTTCCTGTTCAATGGGAAGGAATTCCGACACGATGTTGTGAAACCCCTACTTGATCTTCTGGAGAGGCTGAGGAATGTTGTCAGAAATTTAGAGGGCTACCGCTTCTATTCCTGTTCGTTGTTGATTGTGTATGAAGGAAATTGTGACAAATCATCGGGAAGTTTGTGTCAATCTCACTTGATGAGTGGTCAAAATGGGAGGTGGAGTGGGCAGAATGGGAGACATGAAGATTATTCACTAAATCAGATACACTCTTCAACTAATACAAGACTCCATCCCAGTGAAGAAGTCCCAGTTTCTATTATTCCAGAAGGAAAACTTGTTGAAAACATTTCTTGTGATGGATTTGACTCGGGAAGTCTCACTACCTCATCTCAAACTTCTGTAAACGGTCAGAACAACTCACAGGGAAAATATGAAAAGGATTCAAATGATGATACAATAGACTCGGGGAGTGTCCCTAGTCCTGGTATTAGCCAAACTTCTCCTGAAAGCTGTCTACAAACCTATTCCTGCCTTACACCAGACAATCACGTTTCTGCATCGTCCGATTCCATCGCAGATCAGAAGCCTCATTCTCCTCATTGTCTCGAGGGATATGGTGATTCCAGTTCACAGGTATCCAGGCTTGTGGATGTGAGAATTGTAGACTTTGCTCACGCCACGTTCCCTGGGTTCTGTGGAGACACGGTCACCCATGAAGGCCCAGATCATGGCTTTCTCCGCGGCATCGACACTTTGTTGGAGGTGTTGACAAATTTATTGGAGGCCAAAAGTTGATCTGTTATTCCGTTGACTGCAGAGGGTGCTGGAATTGCATTTTTTGCCATAAATATGATGTATTTTGGGATAGATAGACTTATATGAATTGAGAGAGAGAGAGAGAGAGAGAGAGAGAGAGAGAGAGAGAGAGAGAGAGAGAGAGAGAGAGAGAGAGAGAGAGAGAGAGAGAGAGAGAGAGAGAGGCAGGCAGGCAGGCAGGCAGGCAGGCAGGCAGGCAGGCAGGCAGGCAGGCAGGCAGACAGACAGACAGACAGACAGACAGACAGACAGACAGACAGATAAACAGACAGCATACGAAACAGAAGTGAAAGATGAGTTTTTAAAATAACAAGAAGCACATTGACATAAAAAAGCAGCCCTTAAGACAGACAGACAAAACCAACAGCGAGATAAAAAAGTAGAACCTACCAGTGACACCCTCTAACTACCTTCTGTGTGAAAGCTGAGTAATGAATTTGGACTTGGAGAGAGGTAGAAAACAAAAATGTATCAGGCTAAACATTTTAAAACATGAGAAAATAAAAATGTTACCTTTGAGGTAATGAGTTCCAACTATCAGTACAACTTGGGTGAGGGGCTTGTTTTGAAAGTTAAGCCAAGGGTGAAGGTGACACCTTATATGTAACCTTCGTTGTCGTCGACCTCTGGATATTGAATTTCAGGCCATAGTAAATCAATCAAAAAGAGCTTAAAAGTCTATACTAATTACTAAAACTAATTTTGAATTTACAGTTTTAAATACTGTAACATGAATATTTTATGGTGAAAAATAGATCTACCCTTTTCCTTTTGATATAGCATTTAAGGGGAACGCCCTTATTAAACACCATGATGATTTTATCCGGAAGGGGAGCTCTTGATACCCTGTTAACCCTTTCCGTATGTCTTGTTTTATTATCATATCCATACGACATGGGGAACTCTGTGCCACCACTTTCAAAGAGGAAATTTACTTGTTAATCCGATCCGTACGCTTTGCATAGCAGTCTGTCAAAATGATTTTTTGAGAAAGACTGAAAGTTTCAAGGAGATCTTCGTACTAGAAGTATTCTAAAATGTGAAGAATACAACCCCGGGGGTACAAAATGACCCCAGGGCGTACGGATAGGGTTAAGACACAAAAGTGAAAGGAAAAAAAAAAAAGGCGGAGAAAAGAAGTTTGGACTCAACTTGCCTTTTAAAATTTGAACATAAGTATGGTTGATTGGAGTGACTGGTGTCCTTTTCAAACTTTCTCTTTGACAAAAATCCAAAATTATTACATGCTTGTTTTAAATTTTAGTCATCAGAAACAGTATTCCTGATTACATTTTACAGCAATAATCACTGTACACTTAATGAACAAGAACTTGATAACAACAGTTGTGAACACACGTGTGACATTTTTATGAATGTAAATACAAGTTATAAAATGTATGTCTATGTAAAGTAAAGATGCTTGTGCAATGATATTTTGTCTTCGTTTATAATTGTACCTGAAAAGGATTCGCTTGAGGAATGGTTTGAGACTGGTTTATTTTTATCATCATATATCATTATGTGGATGTGAGAATTGTAAGGGATCTTTGACATGCACAACTTGCACACAGGACCTCCGAAATTTTTCGCCGTTATCTGAGAAGGCTAGGTGTTTGATCTTTCCTACCAGAAGATCAGGGGAGTGGATGAAACACAGCTGCGAGAAGGTGCAGGGAGTAGAAGTAGAAAAGCTGCAGAGAGTCAGGAGTACAGATGAAGGGGCAAAGGAGAGTGGGGAGTGGGGCAGAAAGTGGAGATGAAAGCAGACGACAGAACATGGTTAGAAAGCGGGAAAAGAAGTGAAAGGAGAAATTTTTAGAAAAGAAAATTTTCCTTCACTGTTCAGATTCGAACCCAGGACCTTTTGAATGAGAAGCAAACACAATAACCTCTAGACTATGAAAGTCCCTTATTATGTGTTGTGATGTGGTGGAATCGGGCGCTCGTCAATTTTTGGACATAATATGATTATGAAGTTACTGATATAGTTTCAATAGCTTATTCATTTGTCTTGCTTTTGATGCGAAAAAAATATATTCATGTATGGTGAATAGAAGTAGAGATATTTGGTGGGTGGTTGGCGAGTGCTCTGGTGTGGTTTGCTTCTTCTTTCCTAACAAACATCTATCGTCCTTATCTCCCTTTCTTCTTTTTTATGTTTGTTACTCTCTTGTAACACCTCTAATCTTCTGGCGCTCATATGACCTTATGCAGTTGCGAGCGCCGTAAAACCTCTTCTAAAACTAAACTAAAGAGATATCTGCAATTGAAGGACGTGGGGTCGCTTAGTCTCAGAGTTAAAATTAGCAAGTCAATGACCTCCAAAGTCTGGTGACTTTCAAAACTTTAGACTTTGGAAACTGCAAACTTACTTTTTTTGTACTTTCGATCAACAATTTTTTAGTAAAGCTAACACAGAAGTGTGTTTTTATGTGGACAGAAAAGTGTTGAGCCGAAATAACAAAAACTTGATAAAAAATTGCCTGATTATTTTTACGAGCACCCGATTTCCCCTCAATGCCTCACATATGTGTTAAAGATGGACCAGACTTTATAATTATCATCCTTTAAGGTGTCCAATGCAAAGTCCAAAAGTTTTTTTTCCATCCCAGATTTTAAAAAATAAGTATGTTTTTACTGTCCCATCGACACCATTTTAGATAATTTAGGAGGCAGGCTTCTGGCCCCATCTGTCAGGGCTAACCTGGACTAATAGGGATACAACATCCCAGCAGGAAGACCAAGACACTCAATAAAAATTTCTCCAGGAATTGAACTTGGGTCTTCTGTGTGTGACAGTGAATCGCCTTACCGCTACGCACCAGACACTGGTGCCACAGACATGATTGAGGTAAAAGTACATCGTGTGTATATCGTCAAACATGCTCAAGTGGACAGAGGAGTAGGAAACCCATGAGACTGAAATACAGCGGAGTCTGTAAACTGAAAAGAAAATATAATCCCAGATTTTTTTCCCCTTCTATTTGAGCATCTTCTCTGGAAAACCCGCCTGATCGAAAGAAAATTTGGCTGTCCCACATTTTTTTAAGCGGACTTCTTTGTATTGTCATTATAGGTAAAATAAGCCTGTGATAGTTAATGATCAGTGTCGTGCAAAATCTAGAAGTAGAAGCAAGGTGAACTTCCACTTTGCATGAACAGACTTTGCAGCTGCAATTGGTCTGTTATAACATGCAGCGTTTCAGTCAGCCATCCATTATACTTAATTAGTAACTTACTTGATTGGAGAATAGGTATCATTACAGGCGGTACAATGCCATAGCTGCTCCTCCCTCCTCTCCAGCATCCATGAAAGAGTTGGCTTGCTGATCATGCCAGTCGTCAGCTGTTTCGATATATTCTTCTGGCTTTTCCATGCAGCAGGTTGCTGTCTCTCCCTGACACCAAACAATCCGTTAGAGATCTGGCCACAGGTCTCAACTTCTTTAATTTACAATGAGTGGATAACTCATGCTCTCCTCTGAGCAGCAAGGAATGAGAAGTTCCTCTCCACTTAGTTCCCATCAGCTGCGCAGCAAGTGTCCAAAATGTGCACCACCCCTTTTCGCTTAAGACCACACACGAATTTTTGGGGTCCAATCAAAGTTTTTTGGGTTTTAAAAAACTTCCCTTAAAAATAATGTTAAATCGGATGGAAGTACTCCCAAAGTGATATTTCAAAGAGACAGCTTCATAAAGGTTGTAACATTGTGAGCCAATACAATACTTTAGAGAAATTTGGAGATGTTTTTGCTCCTTTCCTCAAAATGTTAATTTCTAGAATGTTCGCTTAATAGCATGTTCCCATTACAGCTTGTTTTTCTTGTCACCCCAGATGCGTGCTATATGTGAGGCAGCGTGGTGAAATCAGGCGCTCGTCAAAATAATCAATGTGAAGAAACTGGCTTTTTTACGTAGGTTTGTGAATTTTTATAGAATTTTTGTCTTTTAGGTTCAACACCTTTCATGCCTATTGAAGAACACATTAATAACTGTGTGGATTTTTATGAAAAATGTTGGTTGAAGGCACAAAAATGTAAATTTTCAGTTTCCACGAACTCTCAAGCTTCGGAAATAACTAATCTTTGGGGGTAATTTTCTCACTAATTTTACCACTGAAACCAGGTGATCCTCACCTCTTTCATGCGCAAACGTCTCGACTTGTATTCAAGATAAATAGATACTTTTTTCATCCAAAGCAAGACAAATGAGCAAGCTTTAAGATGATGCCAATAACTCAACGTGCCCAAAAATTGACAAGAGCCTGATTCCACTGTTTCGTGACACATGTAAATGTACTGATAGTTCAAGAGTGGGTTTGAATCCTGTCAGGGTACTGATGTTGTGCCCTTGGGAAAGGCACTTTACACAAATTTTCCTCACTTCACTCAGCTAGGAAAGGGTACCCAGCAATAGACAGTGAAAGATTTTGTCAATTTGTTAGTGTTTGAGCACTTAATCCGCTGCTTGTACTGTATGCTTCCCGGGAAGCTGAGGATGTTTCTGAGTATTCAGTGGTCTGCTGGGGTAATAATATAGTGTGAAAAGCGCATAGAGCTTGCTGTCGAGCGGGGACATGCGCTATACAAATGCTATTTATTTATTAATAATTGAAGTTGAAATTACATACACATCTTTTCAACCTATTTTTAGATATTATCTTTTTCCTAGTGGCCGTTTTAGTTTTAGTATGAGCTTTACTGCACTTGCAACACAAAATGGTCATATAAGTTTTAGTTTTAGTAAGTGTTTTACGGCACTTGCCACACAATAAGGTCATATATAAGTGCCGAAGATTAGAGGTGTTACTAGAGAGTAACAAACTCAAAATAGAAGGGAGGGAGATAACGAAGACAGATGTTTGATAGGAAAGAAGAAGCAAACCGCACCAGAGCATCTGCCAACCACCATTTAAGTGCCGAAGATTAGATTGTTAAAAGAATAACAAATCCCCCAAAAAAGGAGGAGATATCAGGATGGCAGATGCTTGTTGGAAGTGAAGGAGCAAACCACACCAGAGCACCCTCCAAACACCTGCAAAGACCATTTAATGCAAAGGCAATACAAAATCTTGAGAAAAAACATTATTTCGTTTATTAAAAACTGATCAATACCTCAGACTCGGGAACAGCACAAGCACATGCATTTGAGAACAATAGTTGTTCTAACAAAACAAAATGTCAAAACAGTGAACACAGAGAGGGCAGACTGTTTGTACCCACATCAAACAAAAAACGAAACAATTTTCATCGTCCTCTTTACAACACAACTGGGTCCTTATTGACAAGGATCGAGCCTTCATAAACAAACGACATGACATCCTCCAGATCTGCACAATAGAACACATGTTTACAAATCAAAGTATGACATAAGCTGTACTTTAGTCTTTAATTTTAATAAAACATGAAGCAAAGATATTCCAGTACTGGATCCACATCAAATGGAAGAGAAAATAATTTTCAAAATACAAAAATACGACAATGGCCCTCGTACATAAAATCATATTGGCAGAAAAATTATCCACAAAAGAAAAACGGCACAAGAGAGAAATTCAGTCTTCTTTAAAACTGATCAAAGACAAGAACATTTGCCAATCCAACTGAAACTATAATGACAAAAAACAAAAAAAGAAAAAACACCAGACAATTGCTGATCCACAATTGACAAGCATCAAACAGAGGATATAATACTTGGACATTTTTATTATACACATTAGAAAGAGAAAAAGGAAAAAAACACCCCCAAAGAACCAGCATTTTGGGTGACCAATGAGTGTATTGTAAAAGCAAGAACACAATGGAAATGGACAACAGGACAACAAAAAATGTGTCATTTTTTCCCTCCAGTGCATGCTACAGCTTTGTAAAAAGAGAAGACTTGTAAGTTGGCCTTCAACTAGTCGCATGATTTAGGCAGGGTTAGAAGATTCAAGATATTTCTCAAATGAAAAATAAGGAGACAAATTTACCAAACCGAAAAAAAAAAAAAAGTATTTGTTTTCCAGGCTAAACCCACTAAACTTAAATTTGCAAGCTTTCTATACCATTCAGGTCTAAACTGAGCTGAGACTTAAGAGGTAAAAAAAACAAAAATCAACACAATATATAATTTAACCGCAAGGACTCCCCCCCCCTCCCCCCCAAACATTTTTATTATATTCCAGCCTGCATGGATAGCTACCACAAACATGTTTTCACTTTGCTTATATTAGTGTAAATGCAGTACAAGTTTCAAATCTCACTACATACACAAGTTGTCCTTGTGCTTAAATGACACTTTCTCTCCATTTTCACAAATAGTTTATGACAAAAAAAATGTATAATCTTATAGTGCAGCACACTTTTAAGTACAACAATCATTCATCCAGTTCACCATATTCACTTTTACATATATATATTTCAAACATATCAAAATTCCCTTCCCTTTTTTCCCACAAACCCTCACCATTCACACTATCCCTTTTCTCAAATCTTCAAAGATCCCTAAATCCTCGCCAGCCACGCCCCCTCTGACTGAACTGCCCGCCTCTGCCCGGTCCCGGGCTCCAGAACTGGCCCCCTCTGCCCCTAGACGGGCCCCCTCGGCGGGGTCCCTGCGCCCTCCTCTGCACCGGGCGCTGCTGCTGCTGCTGCTGAGGCGGCGCCTGCTGTTGCTGCTGCGCTGCGGCCACCCCCTGGGGCGGGATGAGAGGTGGGATGGACATGACTCCTCCCACACTGGCAGACATGGCCGAGACGGAGGCCCCTGGGGTGGAGGATGCGGAACTGTCTGAGTGGTCCCACACGATTTTCTTGATCTGCGGCTTGCCTGTGGAGGAAGAGAGACGGGCGGGCTTCTTCAAGACAAAGCTGAGTGCAGTCGGGGACAGAGGAGAGAAACAGTATGTGGGGGGCAGAACCAAGAGGGGAGGGATGTATACTTGATCACCACACTTTTTACAGGACCTGTCTTTATCTTTTCAGTATATTTTTAAAAAACAATTTTTCTCTTTATTTCCAGTTTTAGCATTTTCAGTATTCTAAAAATAGTTTTCCTGCATTTCCTGATTTTATCTTTTCAGTATTTTTCCAGAATTTTTTGACTGAGAAGAGAAGAGAGAGATACGATGCACAACGCATTTCTTTAGAATGTATTTCATTAGTATACATGCTCCTATCTCTTTTCCTGCAACAGTAAGAGTAAGAGAGCAGGGTTTATGATGTAACTCTACTGAGGTAGAGTAGGGAGTTGGGCTTTCTTTATTGGGGTTAACACGTAACTTGCCATACATGAGTAACACCCAATGTGTAGCACTTGGTCTAAAAGTCGGAGTAATGAAGAAGGAAAAAGAGAGAATACAGGAGGCTAAATGAAGTGGTTAGTGAGTAAGACAATCCCACAGGAGAAATTACACTTCTTGCTGCTGTGCAGCGGGAATCTATTACATTTCATTACTCTCCCCGTTGGAGAAAGCAGTATTAGGGTAAGGATAGAAATTATAACTAAGATCTCATTATATTTTATAGAGAAAACACTAGTAATATAATCGAGATTTTTTTCCATTAAAGTAAAGCAGGATCACAGAGACAGATTAACACAGCAGACATACACAACAGAAGAGAAGTAAGACCTACATAACAATGCCCCCAACCACAATCACACATCAACACAATAAAATACAATGTACCAACAGCAGATGTGTGTTGCTCTGAAAAAGGAAGACCGCCAAAATAAAACAAAACCAAAAAAAGTGGGTGCAGAGATTTGATCATTTCTTTGCATTTGTGCGCGGGCGGTCTCTATTGCTGCGGACGAGAAAGACTACCTGTGCCTGTTGATAGTTCTGTAGTACTGCACATAAAAGGAGGTTAGAGAGCATAAGCTCTTATATGTATGGTAGTGCATACGGGACTGAATACATGTGTATGCGAGTACATGACAGCGTGGAAGTAGAGGGATGATGGTGGTGTGTAGGCGATTGCCTACATATAAACATAAATGCCAACTTTATTATATTTGTAATTCCAGTCTTGAAAGATCATAATTTTTCTATGTGTACGAGGAGCAATACTAGAATACTCAGACCTACAAAAACATGTTTTATTAAATATACATAATTCGTAATTTAGGCACCAGCTGGCAGAAAAAAAAATATTTAAAAAATATATAAATAACATGTATCTACTGGCTGTGTGGGATGATCCTACACGTGTGCCCACTCACCAGCGGCTTCTGTTCTGTCCTGTGCAGAGTCTGTGTCATCTCTCCCAGCACCGGTGCCGCTGCTGCCTTCTCCACTGGCCTGAGGGTCTGAAAGGGATATGATCACAAGGCTATAGTACAGTCGAAATTGTTCATGACGGTAGCTCATTGTCGAGGAGAAAAGTGGCAGTCTTAGACTGGAAATCATCGTACACGATGTTATGATAACGTAAATAAAAATACGCTATGGAAGAAATGGGAAGTGGAAATTTGTATAGGTGATTATCTAACACAGGTGGCCGTTATATAGAGCAGGTTCGACTACATATGTGAGGCAGCGTGGTGGAATCAGGCTCTCGTCAATTTTGGGGCATGTAGAGTTATTGGTATCATCTTCAAGCATGTTCACTTATCTTTATTTGGATGGGAAAAAAATCCATTTATCTTAAATGCAAGTCGAGATATTTGCGAATGAATGAGGTGGGGGTCACCTGTTTTCAGAGGTAAAATTAGAAAATGTCTGCCAAAGATTAATTTTTTTTATAGTAGAGGTTTTTACGGTGCTCGCAACTGCAAAAGGTCATATGAGCGCCAAGGGGTTGGTGTCAACAGAGAAGTCTTTACAGGGAATCAGATTCAGACTGCTCACCTCTCTAGCTTCAACAGCACAAGGTCTGCTTCGACTATCAAGGCACCCCAAAATAGCAGGTCACAAGAGAGTGACAAACATACAAAAGAAGTAGAGGAAAATGACAATAGTAAGGATCAGGAAAGAAAAAGCAGCAGTTCCTTGTTGTAGATCAGGCACAGTTATGAGCGTGACATGAGTCAGCCCATTTACAATTCTACTATGCTTGAACGAGAAATGCCCCCCCTTTGGGAATGGCCTAAAGACACTTCAGTCAGTGGCACTGCCCCAGGGAGTCGCCAAAGATTAGTTATTTCCTTAGTTAAAAGTACGTGGTAACTGAAAATTTACATTTTTTATGCCTTTAATCAACGTTTTTCAGAAAAATCCACACAGAAATGAGGTTTTTAATGGGCATGAAAGGTGTTGAGCCAAGAAACAAAAATTTTATAAAAATTCAAAAACCTGCGGATAAATGCAAGTTTCTTCACTTTGATTATTTTGACGAGAGCCTGATTCCACAACGTTGCCTCACATATTATATACTACAACAGTGACAGTCTTTGTTTTACAAAACATCAAACAACAACAACAATGTTACTGCATTGCTATGAGTGGGCAGTTGGAGGCTGTCACTTGTTGGTCTTACTTCTTTTCTGTTGTACTAAAGGAACCTCTTGTAAAAAGCAGTACCCAAGTGTCAAGGCAGAATTGTGAATTGTGCAGCATGACACCTCAAAAACTGCTCGCAAGACTCAAGCCTGTTACACTTCTGTGTGCATTTTCATGAGATTCTGAGTGGTAAGCAGAGTGATTAACTAGCTGAAACAGGCAAAGAAAAGGGATTTCGTTAACAGTACAAAAAAGTAAATATAAATGTTTCATGCCTCGATCAACACAATGTGGATAATTTAGTAGGTTGCTTCAACCGTACATTTCACTTTCATGACAAACCCCAGTTGAGAAGGAAGCACATCCCAACAAGCAGTTGGAGATGCTCAATAGGAAACTTCTCCACCCACGAATTAAACTAATTTACTCTGCACGCAAACGCAAAGAGCCTGACGGCTACACCACAGGCTCCAGTGACTTTCATTTCGGACAGCCCCTACGAGCACTGCAGTTTCAATGGAAAACACGGTCTGTTAAGACAGCAAGATATATTAATAACATAGCCTCAGGATGAAAGGCTGTTTGTTTGTCTTAGTAAGGTTTTACGGCGCTCGCAACAGCATAAGGTCATATGAGCGCCAAGGGATGGATGTCAACAGAGAAGTCCAAACGAGGAATTAGGCTTACTCTGCTCACCCTTCTAGCCTCAACAGCACAAAGTCTGTTTCGACTATCAAGGCACCCCAGAAATAGCAGTTCACAAGAGAGTAACAAACATACAAGAGAAGTAGAGGACAAATGACGATAGAAAGGAAGAGGACAGAAAAAGCAGCAGTTCCTCCTATGTTGTTCCGGAACAGTATGAGCATGACATTGATATATCAGCCCATTTACAATTCTACTGTACATAAGAACATGAGGAATGAGAACAGAATCGACAGCACAGTATAAGACTCCACAATACATCACTTTTCAAAATAGTGTATGGTGAGAGTCTTATACTAAAGCAGACGAGATGGTTTGTTTCAAACTAGACACTACTAGGCCCCTCCAAGACAACTTTCCTTGCCACCTTAGTCAAGAGACAATGTTGTTCCCTCTTTTTGCTTTTGTAAGAGTTTTATGGCACTTGCAACTCAATAAAGGTCATATAAGTGCTGAAAGTTAGAGGTGTTTCAAGAGAGTAACAGCACAAAAAAGGAGGAGAGATCAGGACGATAGAAGTTTGATAGAAAAAAAAAAAGAGCAAACCACACAAGAGCACCCATAAACCACCCACATGTCCCCTCTAATTCTCCTCTTAATGCATGTTGCATTTATATAAAGCCCCATCTAACTGGCTCTCACTTTCTCTCTCTAACTCAACCTTTTTATTACTTTTCTTTAAGTAAACAAAAACACATTGGCACTATAACTGCCATTTAGTTCAGTTTTAGTAAGAGTTTTACGGCATTTGCAACACAAATAGGTCATAAAGTACTAAAGATTAGAGGTGTACTGGAAAAAAATATACAAAGAAAAGAAGGCGCGGGGGATAAGAATGATAGATGTTTGATAGGAAAGAAGGAGCAAACAACACCAGTGATGTCTACATGAATGCGTACATACATAAACATTTGGCAAACAAAAGTCAAAAGCTTTGTGTTGCCTGC